AATTTGTCTTTCAATTGATATCCTCAATTTGGTAAGACATTTCCTCTAGTTTGTTAGATAACAGTTTTCTTTAGTTCTTGAACACATGTAAAACAACCAACTTAAAGTCCTTGTCCTGAAATATGTCATTTGTACTTCCTCAAGCAGGTTGTTTCTATCAATTTTTCTCTGGTTAATGTGCCATATTTTCCTTTATTAAAATGTCATCTAGGTTGCTTCCATGTCCTGGCTATTATAAACAGTGTGGTACATATACACCATGGAATATTACTCAGCCATTAAAAAGAATTCATTTGAATCAGTTCTAATGAGATGGGTGAAACTGGAGCCCATTATTCAAAAACCACTGCAATGTTGTAAAGTAATTAGCCTCCAACTAATAAAAATAAATGGAAAAAACAAGTTAGTAATATAAAATAAATAAATAAATAAAATGTCATAAGGTTCTTCTTAAAAACTGGATGTTTTGAATATTATAATATAGCAACCATAGAAATTAGATTGTCAACCCCCCCAGGATTTATTATTGCTGCCTATTGGAGAAGTTGTTGATCATATAATGACTGTTTTTTTTTTTAATGTAATAAAAATAATTCTCAAATTTATTTTAAATGGTAGCCTTTTAATATGAGCATTCTTTTTTCATAAGTTTTGCAAGTTTCATAAGTATAGTTAATTTACAATGTGTTAATTTCTGCTGAACAGCAAAGAAACTTGGTTATACATAATTATGTATTCTTTTCAATTACATTTTACCACAGGATATTGAATATAGTTCACTGTGCTATACAGTAGAACCTTGTTTACCCATTCTATATATAATAGCTTGCATTTACTAATCCTAAACTCCTGAATCTTCCCTCTTTTATTCCCTTCCCTCCCCCTTGACAACCACAAGTCTGTTCTCTATCTCTGTAAGTTTATTTCTGTTTTGTAGATGCATTCATTTGTGTCGTATTTAAGATTTCACATATAAACAATATCATATGGTATTTGTTTTTCTCTTCCTAATTTACTTCACTTAGTTAACTTAAGCTTTCTTAATAATGTTTTTTCTTTCTTACTAAATCACATTGTATTATTTTTATATTTTCCCCAGTTCCTCTCAAAAGTCATTTGAATCTACCTGTGGTTCTTTTATTTCGTAGACATTAATATGCATGGTTCTCTACTACAGGATTCTGTTCTTGAATTTTAGTCTACTTTTATTTTCTCAATAATAATAATAACATATATATGGAATTTAGAAAGATGGTAACGATAACCCTATATGCAAAACAGAAAAAGACACACAGATGTATAGAACAGACTTTTGGACTCTGTGGGAGAAGGCGAGGGTGGGATGTTTCAAGAGAACAGCATCGAAACATGTATATTATCTAGGGTGAAACAGATCACCAGCCCAGGTTGGATGCATGAGACAAGTGCTCGGACCTGGTGCACTGGGAAGAGCCAAAGGGATCGGGTCGAGAGGGAAGTGGGAGGGGGGATTGGGATGGGGAATACATGTAAATCCATGGCTAATTCATGTCAATGTATGACAAAAACCACTATAATATTGTAAAGTAATTAGCCTCCAACTAATAAAAATAAATGAAAAAATAAAATAATAATAATAATACATTTGGATGGATTTGTAAATATTCAATCTCCTCTTTATAGCATTAATAGAGATGCTACAGAAACTGAACCAAGTATAAGACCAGGTCCACAGAGCTTAGCAGTGCAGGTGGATGTCAAAGATGTAGAGACTTGCTGGAATGTGATTAAACTTTTCTTCAGGAATGGCTCAAAGCTGAGATGCTTAGAGAAAGGAAAAGATAAAACACCACTCTGTATAGCTATATAATTGTGTTTCTTCAGATTCCACAATCTTTCAATGAGTTTACTAACCACGTCACTAATATATGTAGTAACCTGCTACTTATAACTAGACTTATAACCAGTCTTCTATTAATGTCCAAACTTTTTAACTGGAGCTGGAATGGAAAAACACTATAATGACTAAGTTACTCAGTTACCTAACTAAGCTACAACCAGCATACCACTTAAGTAAATAATTTCATGCTTTTAAAATTTAAACCAAGCATGCTATTTTTCCCCACAAATTAAATCTATTATCCCACAGTTTGTTGAGTTTAAAATAATAATTTTTTAAAAGCTACTAAAAATATACTAGCAAAACTGTATAAGAGCATGAGTGTGTGTTAGGGGGAGGGAAGAGACAGAGTAGTTATATGCATAGCTATAAAATTATTTCAATATTCTTTTGATTTTACAAATTTATTTTTTATAGATGTCTCATTATAACAAATACAGCTGACTCTTGAACAATGTGTAGGCTCAGGCACCAAACCTTCATGCAGTCAAATCACTGCATATAAGTTTTGACTCCCTAAAAACTTTACTAATAACCAACTGTTAACCAGAAATGGTAATGATAACATAAACAGTCAATTAACATATATTTGTATGTCATATATATAATATACTATATTCTTATCATGAAGTAAGCTAGAGAAAAAAATATTATGAAAGTCATAAGGAAAATGCATTTACAGTACTGTATTAATTGATATCGTAAGTTAACAACATCTCTTTACAAGATGAATTGTCTGTCAGTACCCACATCAATAATGTTTTATATGATACAAAACACTACAGATGTAATACATATTGTTAACACCAGACATCAAAAATTAAATAATGTAAAAAAATAAATTCATATTTACAAGTATGACTGATACATTGATAACAGAAGCAATGATATGACTGCTTTATGTTAGCCTAGTGTAATCGATATAAGACTATATACTAATGAATGAAACGTTATAAAAATTTTACAGCATACAATATTACAATCATATTAATAATACAGTATTGGAAACATTGTTACACTCTTAAAAAGCCATTTATCTGTGATGATAAATTGATACATGGTTTCTTCAATGATAAGAGAGATATAAGTATACTGTAATACAATGTATTTCTTTCAAAGTAAAGTTATAAAACAGTAAGGAAACTAACCAATTATTAACTTTATATTAAGGGTCATTCACATTATGCCTATGTAAGGATAGGTTACCCAGATCAACACAAGTCTTGTATAGGATGTTCTATACAATGGATACTTATGGGATGATGACAAAAAAAGGTCTCATATAGTGTTTGCTTAAGTTTATTAGATATTCATTTGAAGACTCTAATAGGCACACAACAGTTAAGTTTCTATAGAGAATTATGATTACTATCATTAAGTGGAAATGGATCATCATAAACTCTTCATCCTCACCATTTATATGTTGAGTGGACTGAGGAGGAAAAGGAGCACCATTCCTGCTGTCTCAGGAATGGTAAAGGCAGAAGATGGAGGAGGCAGAAGGGGAGGCAGGAGAGGTGGGCACTTTACAGGTAACTTTACAGAAATACATCATAATTTCTGTCTGAATTTTTTACCTTTTCATTTCTATAAAACTTGTTTCTATATGGTACAAATCCTTCTTCCACTGTTTTAAGTTGCAGCACCTGTATCATGGAAGGGTCCATGTAATCAGTTCAGTCAGTTCAGTTGCTCAGTCGTGTCTGACTCTTTGCGACACAATGAACCGCAGCACACCAGGCCTCCCTGTCCATCACCAACTCCCGGAGTCCACCCAAACCCATGTCCGTCAAGTCGGTGATGCTATCCAACAATCTCATCCTCTGTCATCCCCTTCTCCTCCGGCCCTCAATCTCTCCCAGCAGCAGGATCTTTTCAAATGAGTCAGCTCTTCGCATCAGGTGGCCAAAGTATTGGAGTTTCAGCTTCAACATCAGTCCTTCCAATGAACACCCAGGACTGATCTCCTTTAGGATGGACTGGCTGGATATCCTTGCAGTCCAAGGCACTCTCAAGAGTCTTCTCCAACACCACAGTTCAAAAGCATCAATTCTTCAGCGCTCAGCTTTCTTTATAGTCCAACTCTCACATCCATACATGACCACTGGAAAAACCATAGCTGTGACTAGATGGACCTTTGCTGAAAAAGTAATGTCTGCTTTTTAATATGCTGTCTGGGTTGGTCATAGCTTTTCTTCCAAGGAGCAAGCGTCTTTTAATCTCAAGGCTGCAATCATCAGCTGCAGTGATTTTGGAGTCCAGAAAAATAAAGTCAGTCACTGTTTCCACTGTTTCCCCATCTATTTGCCATGAAGTGATGGGACTAGATGCCATGATCTTAGTTTTCTAAATGTTGAGCTTTAAGCCAACTTTTTCATTCTCCTCTTTCATCAAGAGGTTCTTTAGTTCTTCTTCACTTTCTGCAATAAGGGTGGTGTCATCTGCATATCTGAGGTTATTGATATTTCTGCCAGCAATCTTGATTCCAGCTTGTGCTTCCTCCAGCCCAGCATTTCTCATGATGTACTCTGTGTATAAGTTAAATAAGCAGGGTGACAATATACAGCCTTGACATACTCCTTTTCCTATTTGGAACCAGTCTGTTGTTCCATGTCCAGTTCTAACTGTTGCTTCCTGACCTGCATACAGGCTTCTCAGGAGGCAGGTCAGGTGGTCTGGTATTCCCAACTCTTTCAGAATTTTCCACAGTTTACTGTGATCCACACAGTCAAAAGCTTAGGCATAGTCAATAAAGCAGAAATAGATATTTTTCTGGAGCTCTCTTGCTTTTTTGAGGATCCAGCGGATGTTGGCAATTTGATCTCAGGTTCCTCTGCCTTTTCTAAACCAGCTTGAACATCTGGAAGTTCACAGTTCATGTATTGCTGAAGCCTTGCTTGGAGAATTTTAAGCATTACTTTACTAGTGTGTGAGATGAGTGCATGTTATAAAAGAAGTCAAAAGTAGTTGAGTAATTGGACACTCTGCTAGATTGTCTAATGTCAATTTGTTTTCTGGCATTGCTACTAAGTCTTCTTCCTTGTCGTCTGGTACTGGTTCAGAAACACTCATCTCCATCAAGTTGTTCTCTGTAATTCTCTGGTGTGGTGTCTATTAGCTCTTGAGTTTCTCCAAGATCCATCTCTTAAAACACTCACCCCTTCCCATTCTTTCTTTCTTTTTTCTTTTTGTCATATCCACAATCCATTTCATGATTTATTTGATTGGCTCTGTAATAAATCCTGTGAAGTCATGCACAACATCTGGACACAGTTTTCTCCATCAGAAACTTATTGGTTGGGGCTTAATGGCTTTTTATATAACAATGATGACATCCCCAATGGTGTAATTCTTCTACACTTTTATGACACTCTATCGTGGATCTCTTCCATAGCACTGGCAAACTTTTCCATATAGTACTGTGTGTGTAATGAGCTTTAAAGGATCTTATGACCCTCTGATCTATAGGCTGAATTAGAGACATTGTGTTTGAGGGCATAAATCACTCACCTTTGATGCCTTCAGTATTGAACTAATGGGATTCTGGACCACCAGGGGCATTGCCCAATATCAGAAGAACCCTAGAAGGCAGTCCCTTACTGGCAAAGTATTTCTTGACTTCAGGGACAAAGTATTAATGGAACCAATCCACAAAAAAGGGTTTTCATCCAGTTCTTCTTCCTGTACAACCAAAAGAATGGCAGATGGTGTTTATCCTCTCTTGTCAAGGCTGAGGGGTTAGCAGCTCTATAGGTAAAGGCAGTTCTATTCATAAACTGAAATCCATTTGCACAAAACAGAAGAGTTATCCTATCCCTTTCTTCCTTAAATCCTGATGTTTGCTTCTGTTCATTACTAATAAAAGTCCTTTGTGGTATTTTCCCCTCAGGATAGGGCACTTCTGTCTATATTTTAAAAACCTGCTCAAGAAGGTATCCTTTCTCCTCAGTGATTTTCTTAATGGTATCTGGGGACTTGTCTGCAGTCTCCTCAATGGCAGAAGTTGCTTCTGCTGTTATCTTGACATTTTTATAAGTTAACCTCTTTCTAAAATGATCAAACCATACTTTGTGGGCCTTCACCTTGCTTTCACTTTGCCATATACTGACATTGCTTTATTTTGAATATAGAGTCTATAGGTGGTGACTTACTAATATCCTGCACCTACACAGAATTTTTCAATATGAGATTAAATTTTCAATTTAATTTTCAATTAAGCTCAATTTTCAATATGGATTTAAAAAAAAGTTATTTCACAAAAAGTGGAAGGTTTTTAGGTTTGCTGTTAGCCACAGCAATGACTTTCCAAATTTCCTTTTTTTTTTTTTACAATGGATTTTTATACTGGATTTATCTTGAAATGGCAAGTATATGTAATGTCATTCTTATAATGTAACAACTTTTCCCTGCTTCTTGGGAGCACTTCCAGCATCATTAGTGGCATTTCAAATCAGTACCATGATGTTACATTAATACAAGGTTTACAGTATTGCACTAATATGAAAAATACACAAAAACAAGGAAAAATCACTTTTTACTGTGATACATAATTTGCTGGAGACAAACTGCTCACACAAACATGATTAACATCACACAGTGTTTCAAACAGATCCTTCCAACACTTCCCTCACTGCCATAGCAACAGGTGTGTTGTGTGCCCAATCCCTGAGTCGTGTCTGCCTCTTTGCAACCCTATGGACTATAGGCCATCAGACTCCTCTGTCCATGGGTTCTCCAGACAAGAACATTAGAGTGGCTTGCCACATCCTTTTCTAGCAGATCTTCCCAACCTAGGGATTGAACCCAAGTCTACGCTGTCTCCTGCACTGGCAGATGTTTTTGTTTTTGTTTTTAACCACTGAGCCACCTGAGAAGTCTGCAACAGGAGGTGCCTGCAAAACAGAAGTGATCGTACACAACTCAGGAGGACTATATCACAAAAGGTATTGCATGTTTCTTCCTTATCTCTCTCTTGGATTATTCACTCTGAAAAAATCTAACTACTGCACTGATGCCAACATAGAAGGAATGAAGTAGTCCTACCAAAAGCAATGTGACTCAGCAATGTTACAAGTGAATGCTACAACCCAGTCAAACCTTCAGATGATTCCAGTCTCATCAGACTTCCTGGCTCCAATATTCTCGGAACTGCTGTGCCAGAGCTATTAGCTAAACTACACACAAAGTTCTCACACCTACAAACTGCAAGGAAATTAACGTTTGTTGGTTTAAGCCATCATATTTTGGGGCAATGTTTTCTTTTTCTTTCTGCTCACTCCAGACGGTTTGCAGGATCTTAGTACCCTGACCAGAGACTGAACCCAGATCCCTGGCAGTGAAAGTGTGGAGTCCTAATCGCTGGACCACTGGGGCAATTTTTTACACAATAGTAGATAGCTCATAAACATACTTGTATTGAAAACAAAAGTATTAAAATTTTTAAAGCAATTCTAAAAAATATACTAGATGATAATCCTTTCCAATGGTAACCAGAAAAAGATATTTGTAGAACAGGTCAAAGAGTATTTAAAAGGATTCAAGATATAGACAGCTTCTCTGTTAAAACTCTGAAATGACCTCTACAGAAAAGGAGACATTTAAAAGCTGAGTGTCAATTTCTAGCATGAAACTCTGAGCTTCAGGGGGTTTCTGAGCTTGAGGAAAAATATGTGACCACAAGGTGGCAGTAACATACAATAAGCTTTATTTGCGTGCTACTTTAATAGACTTGTATGAACGATGGGGTATGTGGAAGTTATTCAGAGCATGAGACCTTCCAGAGGCCCATCAATCAGAAGGATAAGAGGGCAAAAGAACTCCCAGGAAAAAAAGGGACTAGGAGCAGGGACTTATTGTCGATATGGTATCACTCAACAGCAAGATGGGGCATCTGGTTCAGAAAGCTGTGAAGGGCATCAGTGGCTCGGGCATCATTCATACTACCAGGGTTTACCTTATTTGTGGTCAACAGATTTGTAAGCGCAGTTTTTCAAAGTATACAAATCAGGCAAGTCCTAAAAGGCTAAAAAATATCCTTATAAGGGCACATTTAAAGCAATTATATACAATGTATTATTTGTAAAATGTGTTAATAACTGAGTTAAACACTGGTGGGCTTTCATGTTAGGTATTCTGGCCTGCTGTGAAGGAAAAAATGTAGGATCAATGTACTGGGACTATCTTTGGCTTATTTATATAACAGCATACCCTACCACTTCATATGTTGACAATCTTGGTAAGTTGTTTAATAGAAAATGTCATTCAATACAACATAACCTTTTTCCAACTTGGGTCACAGGGATTCTTCATTGGGTTCTCTATAGGTTAAATAAATTAAATAAGGATTAAACTCTGATCTTGGAGAAAAAACTTGAAAGATAGGTTATTTACAGACAACCAACTAAGTTTCACGTTAAATCTTGTATTTGTTTTCTATTCCTGACTAGAATTACCATGAACATAAAAGCTTTAAATAACATACATGTATTTGATCATGTTATCTGTGTGCCAAGGATCCGGGACACCTTAGCTGCCTCCACTTAAGAGTCTCACTAGACTGTAATCAACATGTTGGCTAGGCTATACTCTCATATGAAGGAATAGTTAGGAAAGAATATACTTCCAAGTTCATTCAGGTTGTTGACAGAATTTACGTTACTGAATTGAAACCAAAGTTCCAGACATTTTGCTGGCTGCCAGCAGGAGACTGGTGCACACAGTATCTGTTTCCCATGTGTCGTCCCAACATACTGCTTATATTTTCAAAACAGTAATGAGTTTCTTCCTGCAGTCTGATAAGACAGTTTTATATAACATGATATAATCATAGAAGTGATTTTGGATCATATAATATAACCTAATCAAGCCAATGACATTCCATCACCTTTGGCATTGTTTACAGTTTGCTATTGGTTAGAAGTTACAGGTACTGTGTGCACACAAGGGGAGGGGAATAAAAAAGACCTGGATTGGAAAGATCCCCTGGAGTAGAAAACGGCAACCCACTCCAATATTCTTGCGTGGGAAACCCCATGGACAGAGGAGCCTGGCAGGCTACAGTTCATGGGGTTGCAACAAGTCAGACTGAGCGGTTGAGTACATACATAGACAGTTGTTACATATGACATGTATTCTTGGGAGAGGCCAGTGTCAGTTTAAGCCCTTGCAAGAGACTGAACCATACAAAATGGAGGCTGAGGAAGCAAAATTGCACAGTAGGTTAAATGTTCAACATATGAAACTAATCCTCACAGTAATCAACTTCATAATACTATATCTTGTTCTTTATACATTTTAAAAAATACACCGATAAAAGGAATATAGAGAAATACAAAAGTTTGGGGGAACCAAATAAGAAAATGTATAACAGAATATCATTTATAAAAAGTTTGAAAATATAGGATCATGTCATTACATCAATTAAATATGTTTTATATCTATATGATACCTTGCACTGAATCATTTTAAAAAATTAAGATCTCATAGTTGTTAAATTAATCTGACTAATGGAAAACTGATGCTCAGAGGAGCCTCAAGCTAAAGAATAAGTTCTGCAAAAAGATTATTTGTAATGTATTTTTTGGTCACTAATTTCAACAGTCAATCATACAAAATAACTGAAATTATTTAGTAGGTAGACAGTGTACTAAGTGCTTGGATCAAGTCTGGAATACTATTAATTCTACAGATAAATTTGAGAATTGGCATCCTTACTATTGATGAGTCTTCAAGTCCATAAAGTACGTTTCTCAATTAATTGACTGTTTTTTAGTTTTCCTTCCCATTTATGTCACCACAGAGCTCTGAGTAGAGTTTTCTGTGCAATACTCAAGGTTCACATTAGTTATCTGCTTTACATTTAGTAGTGTATATATGTCAATCCCAATTTCCCAATTCATCCCAGACCACCCCTTCACCATTTCCCACCTTGGAAAACATGTCAGTTTTCTACATCTGTGACTCTTACTTCTGCTATGAAAATAAGTTCATCTGTACCATTTTTCTAAATTTCACATATAAGTGATATTATACAATATCTGTCTTTTTCTTTCTGATTTACTTCACTCTAAATGACAATCTCTAGGCCTACGCAAATGCCATTACCTCATTCCTTTTTTTTACAGCTAAGTAATGTTCCATCGTATATATGTACCACTTCTTTATCCACTCCCCTGCTGATGGACGTTTAGGTTGCTTTCATTTCCTGGCTATTGTAAATAGTGTTGTAATAAACACGAGGGTACATGTATCCTTTAGAATTATGGTTTTCTCCAGATATATGCCAAGGAGCGGGATTGCTGGGTCATATGGTAGCTCTATTTTTAGTTTCCTAAGAAGCTTCCATACTATTCTACACAGTGGCTATACAAATTTACATTCCCACCAACAGCACAGGAGGGTTTACTTTTCTCTACAAGCTCCCCAGCATCTATTGTTTATAGATTTTATGACAGCTATTCTGACTTGTGTGAGGTCATATACCTCTCACTATAGTTTTGATTTGTATTTCTCTACTAACTAGTAATACTGGGTGATTGATTTCCTCCACAAAAATTTACAAGTTGAAAGATTATTTAAAAACAAATTTTAATTGATTCATCAATTCATCAAATAATATATTTTGAGGGAGGTTAAACTAGTTGGTGTCTTAATATCTTTAAATGTCTTTACAATTTGTAATA